TGGGCTTATAAGCAGAGTAGAGATGTCAGTGGAAAGAGTGAACCTGCAGATAGGACAATGTAAACTATCCAAATGAAGAAGAAAGCAGAAAAAAAAGATTGAAAACAGACTGAACAGCACCTCAGGGACCTTTGGAATAGTATCAAAATGTCTAACTGGATTGATATGGTTTGGCTGTTATGTCTCCTACAATTTTCATGTTGAAATATGACCTCTAGTGTTGGAGATGGGCCTAGTGGGAGGTGTCTGAGTCATGGAGGCAGATCCATCAGGAATGGCTTGGTGCTTTCCTCAGGGTAATGAGTTCTCACTCTATGAGTTCATGTGAGATCTGGTTCTTTAAGAGCTGCGCACCTTCCCCCTCTTTGTCTTGTTGCCTCTCTCACCATATGATATGCCAGCTCCCCTTCGCCTTCTGCCATTATTGTAAGCTTCCTGAGGCCCTCACCAGAAGCAGGTGCCAGCACTATGCTTTGAGTACAGCCTACAGAACCATGACCCAAATAAACCTTTTTTATCCAGTCTCAGATATTTCTATATAGCAATGCTAAACTAACACAAGGGTTAAGTGGAGTCCCAGAAAGAGAAAACAGAATGGTAGAGATAATATATTTGAGAAAACACAGCCAAAAACTTCCTAAATTTTGTGAAAGATGTAAATACTCAAATTCAATTATTTCAACACACCAAACAGAATAAATATGAAATTAATAATGCATCCATAGTCAAATTGGTGGGAACCAAATACAAAGATATAATCTTGAAAACAGAGGAAACAACACCATGGATACAGAATTCAAATAACTGCTGTGCTCTCATCAGAAACAAAAACTGCATAAAAAAGTAGAACATCTTTAAAGTGCTTGAATTTAAAAAACTGTCAAACTGAACTTTTATATCCAGAAAGAATATCCTTCAGAAGTACAGGAACAATAAAAACACTTTTGCATAAGAGAAGACTCAGAGTATTTATTATTAGAAACACCTATATTACAAGAAATGGTAAAGAAAGTTCCTCAGGCTGAAGGAAAATAATACTAGATAGAAACTTGAATCTTTAGGAGGAACTGAGGAAAATGATAAATATCTGGGTAAATACAAAAGATTACTTTTTCCTTTTAATTTATCACATATTGTTTAAATCTGTGTTTAAACTTTACAGTTTATAATATATGCAGATACATAACATATAAAAATTACAGAATAAAAAAAGGTGGGGATTGGTAAAGGGGCCTACACAGTTAAAACATTTCTATTATGTTGGTGCAAAACTACTGGAAAAATCGCAATCACTTTTGCAGCAACCTAATACATTTTACTTTGAGTAAAAAAAATTAACAGTAATTAAAGTGTGGGAAATTATGGCTGTATACTGTAACATGTAGAGTAACCACTAAAATACATATAACACAAAAGAGCATAGCTAAAAACCCAATGTATAAAACATAATTCTAAAAATTCTAAAAAAGTTTGTGTACTCTAGAATAAGGCATCAAGGGAGAAACAAAGGAAAAACAGAGAAAGAAAAACAAAAATAAAATTTTTACATGATAGACCTAAATCCAAAGATAACAATTACATTAACTATAAGTGTATTAATAATTCCAATTTAAAAGTAGAGATCATCAGCTATTGAAAAGCAGGGGTCTATATTATCTACATAACATGTATTTTAAATATAAAGACAATGGTATGGCTATCATAGCAGCTTTATTTATAATAGAGCAAAACTAGAAAGCCTACATTATGTCAACAGAGAATGGGATAAACAAACCAACATTCATTCATACAATCAAATAATACCTGACAATAAAAAAACAACAATCAATACATCCAATAGCATGAATACATCTCAAAAACATTACGCTGAAGGAAAGAAGCTTCATGCAAAACAGGACATACTGTTTGATTCCATTTATTTTTAGCTCTAGAACAGGAAAAACTAACCAGTGGTGAAAAATATTAAAACAGTTGGGCTGGGTGCAATGGCTCATGTTTGTAATGTCAGCACTTTGGGAGGCCAAGGCTGGTGGATCACTTGCAGTCAGGAGTTTGGGATCAGCCTGGCCAACATGGCAAAACCCCACCTCTACTAAAAATAAAAAAAAAAAAAAAAAAAATTATCGAGGCGTGGTGGTGCGCATCTGTAATCCCAGTTACTGGGGAAACTGAAGCAGAAGAGCAGAAGATTAGCTTGAACCCAGGAGGCAGAGGCTGCAGTGAGCCAAGATTGCATCACTGCACTTCAACCTGGGCAACAGAGCCAAACTCCATCTCAAAAAAACAAAAAAAAAAAAGTGATTATTTCTGGGCAAATTGGTGCAAGAATTGACTGAGAAGACTCATGAGAGAATTTTCTGGGGAGATAGTAGCATTCTATAGTAAAATCATGCTGGTGGTTACACAGGTAGATGCAATTGTCAAAACTTGATGAAAGTACATTTTTTGAAAGTATATTTCATTGCATGCAAATTTTACATCAAAATAAAAAATTTAAAAAGTAATGAACACTACTTTGTGATGGGCATGCTAAGTGTTCAGGGGAAAGTGTATTAATATCTGCACTTTCATTGGAAATGAAACAAAAGTAGATATATTGAGGAACCTAGGAATAACTAGATGAATAGATGTGTGACAAAGCAATGCAATAAAATGTTAATAGCAGAATCCAGATACTAGTTTATACAATCATCACAGTAAGATTCTTTCAGCTTTTTCATGTTTACAATTTTTCTTACCAAAATTTGAAAAAATACATATTTTTGTATGTTTTTTTTTTGTATTTTGTATGTCCCTCCCCGGAAACGAGAGAGAGAAGTACGCAAGCAGCTTAATTGTGTCTGCTTTACTCTTTAAAATAAAGATACAAAATGGCCAGAAGGAAATGAGAGCTAAATATTACCATGTTAAGGATTCCAGTGTAGGGGTCCCACTAATACTTCTCTGTATGCTTGAAATATTTCATAATTTAATTTTTATAGGACATAACTGGATGAAATGCAATGCAGAAGAGTATAAAGGGCAATGGACTGAGTCACAGAGCCTGGCACTTTCATCTCCACTTAATTATTGACCGTGGGTCTGATACAAGTGACAAAAAAATCTCTGGTCCTCAGTTTCCTGATTCGTAAAGTAAGAGAGTTGCACTAGGTGATCTTTTAGAGATTCATTTTGATGTTTATAATTCTATAAATCTAAAACAAACAAAATTAAAAATGTAATTTTAGGAAATTCCTCCTGAGAAAATGTTAAGCATGAGCTAAAGCATTTACCTATCCTCCCATAACACTATCACCTCTACCTAACCATCATAATTAGTAGGAAAGTGAAGAATTCACTCTGTGAAATCTTTGCTGAATAGTGTGACTTTTTGAGATCCCCAGCTGAGTACTGTCATTATCAATCCCTACCAGACAGCCACCCAGAACTGATGTTGTTAATGTATTGTATACAGTGGACAAATTAATCTTAAACAACTATTGGGATTACAATATCAATGTAGCATTTAGAGATGTAAACACAGGGCATTTCTGAAGAGCACATTGCATGCTGCCATGTTACCTATTATAGCATCATCTGATGGGAGCCAACATCATATCCCAATAATACATAAAAAGGGCATATAGATATCATTTTAACAAAGAAAAGACAAAGATGAAAAAGAGAAACTGATATATTATATATCTATATTTAGATATATAATGTATATATAATACATACATTATATATAATGTATGTATTATATATACATTAATGTGTGTATATATATAGATAGATAGATAGATAGATAAAATAAATATATAATTTATCCTATTGTGCTTAAAACACTGTTTTTGGTTATCAACTAAGTTGGACATGTAAGAACTGTCTTCCTGGACACAACATAAAACTTTTATCCTCTTAGAAAAATAGTGATGAGGAGCCTTTTATCACAGTAAAGATGTTGCAGACAAGTTGCATAGATAAATTTGAAGAGAGAAAAATCTCTTGTCTGCAACATCTTTACAATTATATTCTTTAGGAGAGAATGTCTGAAATGTAACAACTACTGTTACTTCTCGAAATAGATAAACAGGCAGATTTTCCCCCTTAGAGTGAGGTTATTTCCAATCATTTCTTATTTTGTGAACATCTTATTTTGAGTGAAAAGTTAGTTACTAAATCCCATTTTGTAGGGTAACATTTCTCACCTGTCAAAAAACTCTCACCTGATGTTAAGAGTTTTTAACATCATCTCCTTTATCAAAAATTAAAATATATGTCCATGAAGAAATGTATCTGCTTTGAAATACAATGCTGTATTGAAGCTTTTGCTTTTTAATTAATTTGAGAGCACTTTCCCATTTTCTCCTCCCCATCTCTACCACTTTCTTTAGTTTCTCTTTCTTCTTCTTTGTTATTTGATTTTTCCTCTTATTATACCTAATATGTGTATTATTTCTCAGTGTCCTAATGTGGTTAACATTTAAATATTTCTCAATCAGGTATAGAAGGAAATACGTCCTATAGAATTCTGTCATGCCAAAAAGCTTTTGCTGGGAAGCTAAGGAAGAAATAAAAGGATATAACGAAACAAATCTATTTTTGTCATTATGTACCTGAAAGTAACCTGCCAACTAGAAGAAAAGTTGCTTAGTGTTATAGTATAACTAATTATGCTTGAGTTTAAACTAGAATCTCTAATGTTCAAATAAACCAGTATTATGTCATGGAGACATCCTTCACTTTTAAGAATGTATATAAGCTTCAGGTAGTTGTGAAGTCCACTTTTCCATTGTAAACAGTAGTTTTATATATGCTGAACAACCAGAGCTCCACAAATTATTAATAGTGGCTACTTGCAATAGATAACATTAGGCAACAATAAAAGGAGTTTCAGGTTTTTGCTTAATTTTACACATGGCCATCTGTAGTTAGTCTAAAGCCATTTCTATAACTTTTGGATGCACCTCTGTATCACTGTTTTTAAACCCCAAGACAGATATAAATTAGAAAATAAACATTACCTGGACTGATTCAGAGGGAAGTAGTGTCTTTTTGTTGTCACTATTTCTCAAGGAGAAGTCAGAGTCAAACGAGTTGGATCTCCCATAGTCAGGCTGTAAAGGTATAAAAAGTAATGTTATTATTTCTGTGGCTTATATTTTATTTGAGAGGAATAGAGGACATATTGTTTTTATTTCTCATGTAGCTTAAAGCTGGGGATGGTTGTGGGGGTTGGAGATGGGTAGAACATAGCATGATGACTTCTTTTTAGGAATAATCTGAAGATCATGAGATTTCTGAATTACTCAGAGAAGAGATGAAACTACTGCTTATCTCCTATCCCCATGTCTCATAGGCAAATCCACTTTAAAGAAAGATATTGTGGTTCCTCTAACATGTCAGTGTGCAGGAGATGAGTTCCATTATCCCACACAGGGCTCCTCTAAACCTCTAAATTCCAGTTAATAGTAATAAAGATTATTTATTTATTCCATTACTTAGGAGCAAATAAGACAATAGAATGTGGGGGAAAAAGGAGGAGGGGTGCTCAGTGTCACTGCGGGGCTTGTATATTTAGGTAAAGCAGGATAGGAGGTTTGCTAATCAAAATATGCTTCAGAATTACTTTGAGAGAAGTTGCCAAATCCCTTCCATGTTGGTAAACAATCTCATGCTAAATAGCAACTGTCTCCCTGCTAAGTTAACACGACCTGATTGTCCAAAAATGGTTACCAAAGACTAGGTGTTCTTTCTATCTTACCATGAAACCAGAATCTACTAGGAGGTTTTTTTACATCTTGTTATCATAATACTGGATTCATCATCATTTTACTAGACATCTTTCTCTTCCCTCCCCACTGTTTTCACAAACAGTTCCAAAAGAGGAACAAACAAATCATTTGAAGAGAGCTAATTATGGATCTGTAAAAAGACTTTAAAAGCTAAACAAACAAGGCCATTCTTGGAGACACATGGAACCAAAAAGATAGATTGCTTGAAATGTTGTATTTCCATATTTTAAAGTGAAGCTATGCTCAATACTATTAATAACAACTTAAATAGGAACACAACAAGAGCATTTACGGTCCAATTATATGATTAATAAAATATAAATTCCTTGATATCATAAAATGCTATTTTTTCAAATAGATGTATGTATTTTCCTGATAAATAACCATGCCTTCTAAAAAATTTCTTTTCTGAAACATGGTTTCAACAGTGACTGTTGACAGAAAATATGTTTAAAAATTCTAAAGATACAGGTTAGTATATGAGTTACACTAAAGAAAAGACTAAACATATTACAGGATAAGAGACTCATAATGGGAGAATTAGGTGGTCAAAATGTAAATCTAAAAATTTCTTTTTTTCTCCTTCATGTAGACAAATAGAATATGGTTAAATATGAAACTGTCTTAATTTTTCTTGTTTTTCTAGCCTCAGCTCAACTGAGGCATGTGGCTTTGCTCTCAACTGGCAACACAGAAAAAGTGAACTTTTCAGACTTGTCAGGAAGTACATCTTGAACTCACCACTACCCCACACAGATTAAAAACTGCATTCATAGAAATGCTATTTGTCAGATGCATAGTTTGCAAATAGTTTCTCTCATTCTGTGGGTTCTCTTGTTTACTCTGTTGATAAATTCTTTTGCTGTGCAGAAGCTCTTAAGAGCTCTTAAGAGCTTCTGCACAGCAAAAGAATTAACATTTTGCGGGGGGGGGATCTAATTAGGCTTAGATCAATTATTGCTTTTGTTGCAATTGCTTTAGATGTCTTTATCATAATTGTCCAGGATGGTATTGCCTAAGCTGTCTTCCAGGGTTTTTGTAGTTTTAGGTTTTGCATTTAAGTTTTTAATCCATCTTAAGTTTATTTCTGTATATGGTTTAAGGAAGGGATCCAGTTTCAATTTTCTGCATATGGCTAATCAGTTATCCCAGCACCATTTATTGAACAGGGACCCCTTTCCTCATTACTTGTTTATTCAACATCTATAAGGAAGTTAAACAAATTTATAAGAAAAAACGAACCACCCCATTAAAAAGTGGGCAAAAGAATGAACAGACACGTTTCTAAAAGAGACACATGTGGCCAACAAGCATATGAAGAAAAGCTTAATATCACTCATCATTAGAGAAATGCAAATCAAAAACACAATGAGATACCATCCCACACCAGTCAGAATGGCTATTATTCAAAAATTCAAAAAATAACAGGTGCTAGAGAAGTTGTTAAAAGAAAAAAAAAAAAAGAGAGAAAGAGAGAAGGAGAACTTATATACTATTTGTGGGAGTATAAATTAGTTCAATGACCGTGGAAAGCAATGTGGCAATTCCTCAAAGAGCTAAAAACAGAACCACCATTATACCCAGCAATCCCATTACTAGGTATATCCCCAGAGGAATGTAAATTAACCCACCATAAAGACACATGTATACGAATATTTATTGCAGCAGCATTCACAATAGCAAAGACATGGAATCAACCTAAATGCCCATCAATGACAGATTGCATAAACAAAATGTGGTACATATACACCATGAAATACTATGCAGCCATGGAAAAGAATGAGATCATTTCCTTTTCAGGTACATGGATGGAGCTGGAGGCCATTATTCTTAGCAAACTAATGAACAAACTGAAAAACAAACACTACATATTCTCACTTATAAGTGGGAGCTAAATGATGAGAACTCATGAACACAAAGAAAGGAACAACAGATACTGGGGCCAATTTGAAAATGGAGGGTAGAAATAGGGGGATGAGCCAAAAAATTGACAAATGGGCAATAGGCTTAATACCTGGGTGTTGAAATAATCTGTACATCAAACCCTCATGGCATGAGTTTACCTACGTAACAAACCTGCACATGTACCTCCGAATCTAAAATTAAAAATTTTAATAAAAAGAAGTGCTATTTGTATACAGCTGTCTACATTGTATGCAGTCCCAGCTCTTGTGACATCTACCTGAGGATTAGGTTAGACTATCAGACCTAAGCTAAGTCTTCTCCTTCTCATCACTCGCAGGATTTTTTATCACACACATAACTAATTTGTCAATGTCAGTTTCAGTAAAAAATTGTAAGTTTGATGAGGGTAGGAGGCTATGGCTCTTGCTCATTATTTGCTTGTTCAATTTCCTGCCTGTTGCAGAATATAGAGGACATACTAAATAGATGACTACTGAATTAATAAATTTTGCACTTGCTTTCACTGACTTTTGCTTTCTCAAGATGTTGCATAGCATACAACTAGTTTTTATTATACTCACATGGTGTGTTTATCATAGACTATAGTTAAGAAACTTATTTCCTGGGATTACAGTGTTCTATCACGATGCAGGAGATAAATTTCCTATAAGCCTGAATACCCTGAAATAGTTGCATGTCTGAGAAATCTATTTATTCTCTTAATGTTGACTCTGTGTATCTTGGAATTGTTTCCATCTTTGTATTGGCTGCTAGAGAGCTGAAACCTAAATACGCAGCCCAAATCTCACAAGCACATAGGAGTTCACAATAGGCATTTTGTTCCATAGTAACACTCTATTCTCTACCCTTTCTTCCTTCTCTGGCTCTCCCTTGGCTTTCATTTCCCTCACTTAGTTTTAAATTTATTTTATGTATCTTTGTAAGTCACCTTAATTTCTTTTTGAAACAAGGTGGGACATAAATAAATTGATTTTTTTCCCTTCATGATAGAAGTTATTAACTTTGCTGAAGAGGAGAATGGGCCAAGGAAGACAAAATATAGACTTCAGCAATGTATGGCTGATTTTAAGACACCTTGGGGATACCTTGTGAAGAGGAGATACTATTTCTAACCCACAGTGTATAGTTTTAGTTTTATGTAGAGTACAAGGCAATTGTACAATGTCAACCCTTTTTATTATGTTATATCCATTATGTTAATGCTACAAAATATCTGAAAATAAAAAAAAAAAAAGAATGTAACTGGACCCAAAGAAGCTTCACTTTTACTTATGGTCAGAACATTAGGAATAAAGAGAATTGATGAAACTGTAAAAATGTATGAAAGCCATTGGTACCAAGCAGACAGAATAACCTCTTACTCTTGAATTATGTTTTGAGATACAGCACCCTCCTCTCTATCCTCCTCTCATTCTCAGAGAAAATTATCAATTTTTCATGAGAGGTAGAGTGTCAAGAGACAGAAAAATAGACCAATGCTAGATAAGAGCAAATAATCATAATTTTTAAAGAACTAAATACTTCAGTTGAACACTTTATGCAGAAATGCATTTGCATTTTATCATAATCTCACAAAATTATGATAATTATCAATCTGAATATAGAATATTTCTGTTTGCTATTACTAACCCTACAACTACATATCAAGTACATTTAACTGAAAGGAAGAAACAATAACAAAGGAAAGCACGCACATGTGTGCACACACACACACTCTCTCTCTCCCTCTCTGTCATCTGCCCCAAATAACAAAAGCATCTCTGCCACAAGAATTGTGCCCATCACTGCTCCAGGTTCAGATAGAGAACCGCCGCCAGTCTATTTTAGCATACCCATTTACATTCTGTACATCTTTATAAATGTAGTTATCATTACCATTGTTGCCTTATCACTCTCTATGATTGCTCCCTTTCATTCAAGTACAAAGGCAGCCTGACTATAAATGTTTTGTCATAAAACTGCTATTCAAACAATAAAAAAGGGTTATAATAGTACTAAAAATAATTTACCCCCAAGGCTGCTGCATAGACTGGCCGTGTGCAGATTGAGGGGCACAAAACACCTCCAGCCACATTCTCACTACCCTCAAGACTCTTCTGCATCTGTACCTATATCTGCATGGTTTCAAAAACATTTCAGACATTATCACATGGCTAGAATAGCTAGGACCTTTTCAGTATATGATTTTTAGACATGCAAATTATTTTTAGCAAAATTATCATTATTGTACTTAGGAAATAAGAGATAAATTAGAGAGTTTGTATCTTTCAAAGAGAAAGTCACTTTTAAATTCTTCAGTTTGGGAGTAGCTGGGTAAAAATGTAGTGTGTGTATACATATAATAAAATATACATATATTTCATACAACATACCACACATCTACATCACAGATACAT